GGGAAGGATGATTGTTTCTTGTCATTGGAATGAAGCTGTATATAGTAAGGATTTAGAGCAGGGGTCCTCAAACTTTTTAAACAGGGGGCAAGTTCACTGTCCCTCAGACTGTTGGAGGGCAGGACTGCGGGCCCCAGGACAAGTCGGCTGCTAAGCAGGACAGGCAGCGGCGGCAAAAACACCCGGCAGGCCAGATAAATGTCCTAGGCGGGCCGCATGTGGCCCGCGGGCCATAGTTTGAGGACACCTGACCTACATAGTCAGAACCAATATACTCATTGCTGGCAAGTAAAAATTCAGACTCTGGCCAGCTTATCCCCTTCATTCAGTTATTCAAGAACACAGACTCTGGAGTCAAATCCTGCCTGCATCAATTTCTAATTCTCTAACCTTAGGATTCACTGAAACTCCCAAACTTCAGCTTCTAATCTGTAAAATGGGAAGAACAGTACATGCCTCATAAAGTTGTTTTCAAGAGCACAATGAGGGAATCAGGTAAAGTTCCTGGACTGTGGCAAATGCTTAAAACATTTTAGCTATTTTAAATCATGTCTTCCCTAAAAAGAAGAGTCTCTCGTCACTTACCCCTTGTAAGACTTGAAAGCTGTCATTGTTGGGTGGTGGGTCTTGATCTGGGTCAACACCAACTCTAAAAGTCACCAGAGAGAAAGATAAGGAGAAAAACAGAAAGTATTAGCTCGGCCCATGGAAGCCATGCTGGCTGAAAGTAGCACAAGGCTGACCATCTTCCCAAAGCAGAAGGAGCGCTTAGCTAAAAGGAGAGGAAGGGGTCATGCGGAAGTCATGAAGAAGAGGTCATATACCACTTCTGATCCCAGAGGGCTGGAGGGGTGACGAACCTGGTGTGCTCATGCCCTAAGCAAGGCCTCTGGAGCATGACACATGCTGCCAGTTGTTCATATGCCTTCCAGCACCAGGTGGTCCAGTTACCAAAATGTGGGTCCCACTGCATGGGGCCCTTCTTCTCTGCTGTTTCTTCACTTCTTCCACACTGATCTGCTTTCATTTTACTAACATTTTGTTACAACATTTTTTTTCATATACTCAAAGAGGTGTTGAAAGAATTTATAGAGAACCTCTGTAAATACACTATCACTAATTCTATCCATTAACATTTTATTATATTTTCTTTAGTACCTATCTACCCATTTCTCTGTCACCCATCTTATTTTTGTTTTTGTTTTTGAGACAGCTGTCGCCCTGGGTAGAGTGCCATGGCATCACAGTTCATAGCAATCTCCGACTCCTGGCTTAAGCGATTCTCTTGCCTCAGCCTCCCAAGTAGCTGGGACTACAGGCGCCCATGACAACACCTGGCTATATTTTGGTTGTAGTTGTCATTGTTGTTTGGTGGGCCCGGGCCGGATTTGAACCCGCCAGCTCAGGTGTATGTGGCTGGTGCCTTAGCCGCTTGAGCTACAGACGCCGCATCTCATCTTATTTTTGGATGCTTTCAAATAAAGGTGCAGACATCATTATACCTCCCCTACATACTTCAGCTTCATATTGACAGAATCTCCTTGACCAAACTTTAGTCAGGTTCCTCTAAATCCTCTTTCCAACTAGGCCTTGGCTTTTGGGCTTCCATGTCCATCTTTGCATCACTCAATTTTAGCATAAATCTTGCAAAGTTGTTTTGGCCAGAACCCCCCACCCAAATATCTGATCAGGTTTCTCATCCTCCATCACCCCCCAGGTGATGTCTGATCCTTCTGACTTGTCTTCAGCAGGAATCCTGTTAGGTCTCTTTAGCCAGAATCCCCCTTAGCCCTGATGTTTTCTCTCAGGCATTTTCCATCCACTGACCCTCTCCCCTACCGCAAAACCCTATCACAGTGGTCCCCATACCAATTGTGATAGTCCTGAATGTCTGTCCTACCATTTTTAACAAGTGTCAGAATAGAGTCCTGACCTGCTTTTAATCCTGGTGCCCCCCCATAACCTCTTGCATCAAAGATGACTGGAGAACTCAAACATTTGAGTGAAAACAGAACAAATGAAGACAGAAAAAAAAAGCAAAAAGGCAAAATTTACTTAGAACAAATTCCATAAAAACATGAGGGCAGTTGTCTTGGCTTAGTAACATACCAACAGGTGCTCTATGCATCTCTTCATTATTTATCCCTGCACTTTCCTCATGCTGAAGCAGAGAACTGGGATGTGGATGATGTGGACAATGTGGGGAAATTGGGGAGAAAACAAGGATGGCAGGAAAAGCCCACATCTCTCCCCTCACTCCCTCCAGTGTTGCAAAGAATGGATAGGTCATAAAAGGTAAACTGAGAATAGAGCCATCAGCAGATGAGGTCTGATTTGAGCTTGAAGTGAGGTGCCGAGCGGGCTCTCTAACTTGGGTGTTCTTTGCAGTCTATACCAGGACGATGACTCTAAGGACCAAATAGCAGATGGAAACACAAAGCCCCATGTGCATGCACTTACTTTTCCTCTGTTCTTGCCCTCCCTTTTGCCTACCTGTGATGCCAAGCACCGTTCTGAGCACTTAGTTAAAACTTTTTGTGTGCCTCACACCAGATCTCCACCGTGTGGGCCTGAGGTTTGATGAGATCTTTGTATTACATTAGATGGACCTTGCTTTATGTCTAGAGGATACTACCAGGAAGGGATTTCTGATGAGGCTTGGAGGTTTGTCCTCAAAAATGGATGTTATATGGAGACTTTTGAGCAAGGTCTCAAAGAGATCTTTTGACACGAAAACCTTACATGCAGGAGCCCAAGAGGTGTCCACAAAAGTCACACTTGAGCTCTAGTGCACGCGACATGTCTAATGAACAAAAGCGGTAAAGAGGTTGCATATTGAATTCCTAGCTGTTGATATTTAGCCCTTATCTGTTTTCGGAGCCCCTTAATGTATTTTTCATAGCGATAAATCGTTTGTGTTGTGGTTTTGTCAACATTTATAAGGTCGTAAAGGAATCCAATATTAGGCCTTGTTCAGTGGATTCTAGAGCAGCACAAAGATGCTTCATGCCAGACTAATTCTCTTAAGATAGATTCCCAGGTGCAGTCTCAGTGAGGCAGAGTGCTGCTGACTGCAGCATCGCTCAGACAGCCTACCAGAGTACAGGTGCCCTGAATGCCCGCCACCTAACTCCAGAGAAGCTGTGGAGGGGCACAGAGTACAGCATGGCCTAGAATGTGGCACTTCTGATCTGTGATTAAAAATCTCTCCTTTCTGCATGTGAATTTTGAAAGCAGTGCATTAGCTTTTGTGAGTGGCTTCCATGTCAGTAAAGATAAAACAAATGGACTTTAGCAGCCCACATGAAATAGGAAGCCTATCCATGGCTTAAATGTGTCCTATACTACAATGAAGGAAATAAAATCAAATACAGTAAGAGCTGGCAAATGAAATTTAACCCTCTCTATTCTTTTAACTAATCTCTTATTAGGAGAAAATAAATCAGTTTAACAAGAATTAAAATAGATTATGCTTAACAAGAACTGCTTATAAAAAGTAGGCTTTGACTATCTTCACTGAAGTCCTGAAAGCATCAGTGGAACTCATCCATTCATCCTGGACCCACATGGCCAGGCCAGAATTCAAAACAGCAAAGCCCCAGATGTTGGAATAAATTGAGAAACTCATGAAATTAAGGTGACTACCCTAATCTCCTCCCAAATGTGTGAGACCTGCCATTTTGTTCTGGGGGAACTAAGAGTGATTCTAGACCTCTACAAAGTTTTCTCCAATGTGAAAATGTTCTATATATGCACCATCTAATAGGTAACCACTAGCCAACCACATGTGGCTATTGAGCACTTGAAATGGGGATAGTATGATTGAGTAACTGCATTTTACATTTTAGTTTTCATTAACTTTATTTATTTTTAGACAGAGTTTCACTTTGTTGCCCTTGGTAGAGTGCCATGGTGTCACAGCTCACAGCAACCTCCAGCTCTTGAGCTTAAGCGATTCCCTTGCCTCAGCCTCCCAAGTAGCTGGGACTACAGGTGCCTGCCACAACACCCAGCTATTTTTTGTTGCAATTCTCATTACTGTTTTAGCTGGCAGGGGCCTGGTTTGAACCTGCCACCCTTGGTATATGGGGCTGGCGCCCTACCCACTGAGCCACAGGCGCTGTCCAGTTTTCATTAACTTTAAATAGCCACATATGGCTAGCGGCTACAGCACAGTATAGATTCTAGAAAGTACTCATTCCAGCCATCTCTCTAACATCACTTTTTTCCCCTACGAATAAAGTGACAACCATTGGCTAACTTTCTGCCTTCCCAAAGGTAACATACGTGATTCCTGCTGGGATCCTGTAGAGACAACTTCAAGTCCCATAAATAGTAAGTTAAAATTTTGCTTGAACTGGTTAGAATCTAAGGGAGACAAGGGAGATTCCTCCCTTAGTGTATAAAATAAACTTTAAAACACTCTTAAATCTCTTCTTTATGGATGAATGTCATAAACATGAAAAGAATAACAAACTTAGAAAATTCCCATTTTTCCACCCCCAGTGTAATAACTCTTTTAACTCAGGATCATCATTGGATGATTTTACCGCTGGTAAGATGGTTGTTGAGAATCTGTCCAGTCACATCATGTCAAAGGATCACTGTACACATAACTTTTTGATTACAAAACCAAGTATCTTTATAGTGGAGAGATCACTTCCTTAACCAAGTGATCAAATGTAATGTCACTAGTAAAGGGGCAGCTTGACAATATATACCACCTGATGTGATGCCACAAGAAATGTATGTCACTTTTACAGTATTTTTGGCAAAAAAAAAATACATCTATTTTTAGTCATGAGGGAAAAGAATCATAAAAATCCAGATTATGGGACATTTTGCAAGATAATTATCTTGAATAGTTTTAAAGAAAAAAAAAAACATTAATGTCATAAGAGACCAAATAAGGAGGGAAGTGTTCTTGTTTAAAAGTGACTAAAAAGATATGACAACCAAAGTAAAGGCTGATTAGATCCTGGATGCTGTGTGTGTGGGGGGTGTATATAAAATTCATGTCGCATTTTTTAGGTATTGTGATCATGCTGGAGACTGGATTCTTAGGAGACCGATGCTACAGTATTCAGGGGTGTCTTCAGTGTACTTTGAACTATTTTCAAATGGTTGAGAAAGAGGGTAAAAATGACCCCCAAATTAATAATTTGTGAATCAAGGTTAGTACCTGGGTATTCATTGTTTTATTTCTTCAAATCTTTTACAGATTTCAAATTTTTCACAATTAAAAGAGAATACCCTTGGTGAAAATGTTACAAAAACAAGTCAGTTTATTTCCTCTCTCTCTTAATTTAATCTAATCTAAATCTACTAATGTGTACCTTTTGGGTAAGTCAGGATCTCACGTTATTTCGGGATCTGAAAACCAAAAGTTGTAATGATTCATGGACATGGGGTGTATAATAGGTAAATAAATATATGTAATAGGTAAATAGGTAGATACAGATTCTAGTAATTATGTGATTTTATTTTCTAGATAAATTATGGAATGTTTTGTTAGATTCTCCTTCTCTTCCTAAAAGTGAAGGATAAGGAATAAAATTATATATATATATATATATATATCAAACTCCAGTGAAAGCAGCCATCTTTCAGATCTGGCTATATACATTCCCTGGAAATCTAGTTCTGAGG